AAATTCCTCAACACAATCAAGAGTATTTATACAAAACCAACAGCCTACATCACTCTCAATGGAGAGAAACTGAAAGCCTTCCCTCTGTGAACAGGAACCAGACAAGGATGCCCTTTGTCACCACTCCTATTCAGTATTGTGCTGGAAGTCTTAGCCAGAGCTATACGGCAAGGTAAGGAAAATAAAGGCATCCAAATTATCAAAGAGGAACTAAAACTGTCTCTATTTGCAGATGATATGATCCTATACATAGAAAACTCCAAAGACTCAGTAAAAAAGCTACTAGACATCATTTGAAGATTCAGCAAAGTGGCAGCGTATAAGATCAACATACAAAAATCAGTTGGATTCCTCTATAGTAACAATGACAGTCCTGAAAAAGACATTAGGAAAGCAATACCATTTACAATAGCCGCCCAAAGGATGAAATACTTAGGAATAAATGTAACCAGAGAAATAAAGAAGCTATACAAAGAAAGTCACAAAACACTACTACAAGAAACCAAAAGAGACTTAACAGAAATGGAAGAACATACCATGTTCCTGGATAGGAAGACTCAACATTGTGAAAATGTCAATACTGCCCAAAGCAATTTACACATATAATGCAATCCCTACCCAGATTCCAACAACATTCTTCAAAGAGATGGAAAAGACAATTACAAACTTTATATGGAAAGGAAGGAGACCCAGAATAAGCAAAACACTGCTTAAGAAGAAGAATAAGGTTGGAGGCCTCTTCTCCCTGATTTCAAAATTTACTACATGGCTCCAGTGGTTAAAACAGCCTGTGGTACTGGTACAATGAAAGATACATTGATCAATGGAACAGAATTGAAAATCTAGAAATTAACCCATCCACATACAGCCAACTGGTTTTCGACAAAGTGCCTAGGTATATTGCATGGGGAGAAGATAGTCTCGTTAACACATGGTGGTAGCAGAACTGGAGAGTGAAATGCAAAAGATTGAAACAAGACTTTTACTTCATGACTCAGCGTGGATTAAAACTGACTCAGCATGGATTAAAGATCTAAATGTGACTCCCAAAATTATGAAGGTCATCAATGAAAAATAGGGACAAATGTGAGGGCTCTAATACAGGGAATACACAGACTACCAAACATTTTGAAAA